CACACACACCTCCTTCACAGAGTTAAAAACTGGCAGGCCAAGGTGGGTCTTGCCACCCTTGCCAGGGGAAACTCCTCCAACTAACTGGGAGCCATAGTCGAGAGACTGCTGACTGTGAAACGTCCCCTACAAGTGAAGAGGAAGAGAGCGCAATCAGTTTGTGTACACATGTGTAATGAAATGGGTACAGCCACTTCTACGGCACCAACATTGAGATATCATTGCAGACAGAGTGGAAGTAGGAAATATGATGCCATCCAAGATTAATCACCGGTGCTGCTGAGAAAAAGGATAAATACAGAAACTAGGCTGGATTCTAGCAGGGGGTGAAGGCACCGGTAAATATATTCAATGAGAAGGAATCTAAATGATCTTGACAAATGAGTAATGATGTAAGCTAAGTTTAATCTCCTAGCAGAACATTTGAAAAACAAATCAAAAGCAGCGTTGGATAGTCGCCAGCGCCGAGTGTGAAATATCTCCCAAGAAAGTTAGTTTACAAAATATTTCACACACTGTCACTTCCATGTGGGCCATGGAGAACATGTCGTGCTGCACTGCCAAGGTTTGTGCATTTTATTCTAGACACGCAGGAAGGCGATTCACCACTTTGCTTCAACCCTGCCCATAGAAACGCGTAAAATATGATAATCTCAGACATCCTAGCTCAAGCATCGGGTTAAGCATAGTTAAATCTCAAGAGTATACACATTATGATGCACTAATACTTGATCTGCAAACACAAATGGGCTGTTTATAACAGTCTGTGAATGCTGTAACTTTAGTAAGACACTTTTAACTTCCACACCTACACGTAAACAGAACATTTAGAATATTTCACATGATCAAACTACAGTTTCAATAAAGAGCTGAAAGCAACTGGCAAACAATATATGTGCCGTACACATGCTTTAAGACTTACTTCAATGAACAGGATACAGCCGCAGTAACACTAAGGGATCACAATGCATTTTGTAGATCTGTGAAAGAATAATTTAACTGAACCTCAGTTGCACCTTCGCAGAAAATGAGCTCATGAATTCAGACCGAACTGATTTTCTGCTGAACGAATCCTATCTGCGTGCAGTCAGTTAATTATCACTCGAGAGGCTGAAACAATGTAGATGGAGCAGCACAGACCGTAACTACAAGCGCAAATAAATGACCTTAATGTAAAAATTATAACCAGCCTATTAAGAGGAATTAGAAGCTATGAATCAGCATTTTCCCGCCCATTTGTAATATAGTTCTTCACCCTGCTAACTTTGCTGTTTTTGCCGGTCATTATTATCGCAAATGTTGGTACAATAATTTTGAAAAATGACTTGCTTATCAAGCCAGGAAGACACGGCAATGTGCACTCAATAGCACTTGCTTCATTTCTCATCCTTTTCTAATTACCCAGAGTGTTCACTAGAACTATATTTAACAACCTTTTATTATGTTGAAGAGAAAATGGAAGATGAAAAATGAAATGTGAGGAAGGACGCGGGGCGGGGGGAATATAAATCTGTGAAGTCCACGTTTCTGGCTTGTTGAACACACTTGCCAAGAAGATTGTAATTCTCCTTCACTGCCACTTTTCAAAGCAAATCACATAAGGTTTTTCATGCACGGAGAAAATAATAAATGAATCAAAGGCTCAACAATCTGCCAAGCAGAGTTAAGCTTGGTTAAAACCATGATAAAGGGTAGTTGTTGGGGGGAGGGGGGAGGGGGGGAGACAAGTCAAATTAAAAATGAAAATTATTTTCTATTTAAGAATAAGCTGGAAAAATTAAAGGATCAAACTTGATTTATAAGGCTGAAACAAATCCACAAAATCCACAGCAAACAGCAGAATCACAGCAGTATCAAGTGTTCCAGCATTTACACAAACTTCGCATCAGGGACTTTTTACCAAACACTTTTACATTTTTCTAACTTTAACTATTTAAATTATTACAGTGCCGCAAAGCCTTGAGCCAACCCTTATTTCTTTGTACTTTACTTCAAAGGAGCCAGGCTTTCTTGTATTTTTAAGGTGCTCTTGAACAATACTTCTCTGAGCTTTTTGAAGGTCTTTCAAAGCTGTTCTTTGGACACTGAATGTTTTTTCACTCATTTATAGCCCAGTTCTTGACACTGACCTATGAACAAAGCTCAAGGGACAAACCAGCGTTGTGTTTACATAGCATTGAAAAAAAAAGGTTTTTAAAAAACTGTTTTAAATTGTAGTGATGGCAAAGCTTAAAGCTCTACAGCATATGAAGAGTATCGGAAAGTGGATGTAAAAAATCCAGGAAAGACATGCACCAGCCCTTCAGCTGATCCTCAACTGATCACTGATGCCTCATCAGAAATAGACTCGCTGGAAGTCATGTCCCACAGGTACACAAGAATTGGATTGAAAGTCAAATGTAAAAGAGTCCTATGGAGTGATGAATCCACGTGTGAAATTTTTGGTTTAAGGCAGGTGCAGGCTGTGTCATGGTTTGGGGCTGCATTTCAGCCAGTGGTGTTGGAAATCTTGCCAACAATTCATAAGTGTTGTACTTATGAACACAGGAAAATCCTCAGAGTCTGGACCTTAACTCTATTAAGAACAGAACAAAAAGCAGTTAACATCAGAAGGTCATTCAAAACAGCTTTGAATAACCTTCGAGAAGCCTGGAGAACTATTCCTGATTATTCCCTGAATGTTTGCACATGTTTTAATAAAGCTCTGCACTTACTTTCCGTTTTCCCAACAAAACAAAACAAAATGACCAGCAGACCAAGGCTTTTGCACAGTACAGTATTTGATTCCATTTTAAACCTTTTAAACAACTTTCAAATTGTTAGTGAAATTATGATTCTCTGTTTTGACATGAGTATGTGCCCTGAGAGAATAGAGTAAGGACTATGTGTGGGTTGTTAAGGAGTAATAAAGGATTCTGCTCTCCTTGGGACAATGCAGGAGCTTTTCTTCATCTTAGCTAAGGTTTTAATGCTAAAAGGTCTGAGACAAATCTCTAAGACACAACAGACTTATTAGGCTGTAAACATAAAATTAACTTGAACTACACTGACAAAACTTGTGCCATTAAAACAAAACTGAATTTAGGCAGAAATAAAGAATGAGATTTTTACAGCTGATGGAGATGCACTTTTAAAATGTCCTTCTGGTAATCTTACTCATACAGAAAGTCTTTGACATACAAAAATGAGGAATTGTGTGTGCAGTAAGGAAAACCTGAGATTTCACAACAAGATTGCAGTAACTTAAACTGATGTGAAGCAAAAACAACGAGAAGTTTTCAGTCCAAACCTGCTTCCCCGTGAAACCTTGGCAGATGACCTTCGTGTTCTTGTCGATGTACAGGTTCTTTCTTGTGCCTGTGTAGCAGTGTCTGACTCCACTGTGCTGCACTAATGGACGGGGGAAAAAGGGAACAACAGAGTTTTTTGTTATTTGTGAGAACTTAACATAGAGGCAAGACTACACATTAAACCTGTTTTGTTCAAAGGAGACATGTTTTGCAACAAGTAAACTGCAGTTTCTCTCAAATCTGAACAGATCCTAAACCACTCTTCTCACAGTGGACAGCAAAGTGTTTAATCAAATATTTACCTTTCCGGGGAACCCTAAGCTCCACACTGTTTTTGGCAACAATCTTTTACCCTCCAACTATCCTTCAAAGTTGCTGAGCAACATTCAAAACTTTCTTTTAAGACTTACAGAGATATGTTTTACAGAAAATGTTACCAAAAAACCCCCCCACTCAATTTTTAAGACTTCTGTTCAGTTTTATGATAATTTTCGTTAACCTACGGAGGCATTACAAGTTAGTTAGTGTTTGGTGTAACAATATGTCTCCAGCAGCTGCAGGTCGCGATTCAGTTGAAGAACTTTAATCAAGGTTTATGCATGCTGCGAGGCATCTGATAAGACAAAGACTGTAGGTATTACATAATCTCACCTAACAGGTAAAATGAGAAATATGCTGCACTACTCACAACATGGCTATGAGACACTTTTACTACTATACTACTGCATTAATGTCAAAAGACTATGTAGTTAAACTCCCCTCACAGCAGAAAATTACCATGGAAATCAATAAAGAATCAAATATAAGAAGAACTGATAGTGACATTGACGACATTAATATAAATTAAAGCTCATCAGTCTCCAAGTAGCAAATGGGTAGCTAGGTGTTTCATATTTTACAATTCACATCTAACTGCAAGAAAAAGAACAATGGATTTCCTCATTGTGCGTACACACAGTTCGAAATGCGTTTTCTATACAAATATTAATTATATTAAAACTGCATCTGTCTGACTAATAACAATTATTATTTCAGTTCTTGCAGTTCCTTCAATGTCATGTGAGACTCGAGCTTGTCTTGTGGTGATCCTTTCTTCCCTCTTACTCACTTTGTGAAGCTACTATTCAAAAATAAAGGTGCAGCCTATTTACTAAGATGACACTGCCAAAATAAATAATATGACACCGCGATCTCTACAGGCTAAAACAAATAAACTCACAGGCTTCTTTTGCCGAAAACACTGTCCTGTAGCCCAAATGCCCCCAAATCATTCCTGTTTTTCTTTTTCAGTTCAGCCCTAACGCGTGTTTGTGACTGGGCTAATATTAACCAGCAGTCTGACTAACTGAACTTTGGCCCGCTTTCAAACCTCCCACAAGACACAATTTATCAGTGAGATAAGCAAAGTTCATCTTAGCTAAAGTCTCAAGAAAGGCGTACTAAATTAAAGTTATGTCGCTCTCTAAAATCTAACGCAAACTTATTTTTGCATTTTTTTAACTGTCAGAAAGTAACATGCAAATAAACTGCCTCAAAAAGTTCATTTAGCTGCTTTCAGTTACTGCTCGATAACATGGGCTGATGAACCTGCTGTCACACACAGACGTTGTCGTTCACAAGACATGCAAGGTCAAAGATCAACGATCAACAATTAACACTTGTCCGGAAGCAGGCTGGTAGGTGCTTAAAGTTAGCCTTACGCTAAATAAAATCTAAGGTCCTGCTAACTGTCAGTGAGTTTTCCCTGCATTCCTCTACGGTCTCCAGACTAACGTGGCTAACTAACGTGTAAGCCCCCTGACAGCCAACCCACAGGAGCCTTGCTAGCCGGTGCAAAACTATACGTGCCTGCAAAGCTAATGTAGAGCACACAGACGGTAAGTATACGTGTGATACCGAAAGCAAACTGTCAAACAATTTGTATGACTAAACTATTGTTTGCTACAATACTTACAAAGCAGCCTAGCAAACAATCTGCTGTGAGACATCTTCGGTCATTCACCAATGACACTGGAGACTGAGGACCTCTCACACGGATCTTAGTTGACCATAAATATCCCGGTGGAATCGAGAGTTTTAAAGAAAACCACTATAACAAGTCGTTAATTTGCACTGGATTTATAATTGTCAGTATTAACTTAAAGAAATTACTATTATTTATTTTTAGTAAGCGGTGAGCTTGACAGTTGCTACACAAACACCGGGGTTAAAAAAAAACAGGCGAAAAGTAGGATACTTGAACCCACAATGAACTATGGGTAATGAAGTTCTGACACAGTACTTGAAAGACAGCACCAGTGCCATAATGGCACTAGAGGGCGCATAGATCATGTTGATGTGGATAATGCCGCTGAATGTCACTTTACAGGACCCTGAGCCAGAAATAAATATTGTATATTGTGTTTAAGATGTTTGTTTCTTGACCTTGGAACAGCAGTAATTTGAAAGGGTTCTAGTTCACCAAGGTCCTGGCAGTCTTAGGAGCTTGAAAATAGGGCAACTGAACTTATTTAAGTTTGTTGAAGAAGTTTTGCCTCTCATCCAAGAGGCTTCTTCAGTTATAAAACCAAAAGGTGGAGAGTGCTGGGTATTTAAACTCTAGTGGGGATTGTCTCTTAGGAGGTGGTCGTTGACCCACTATTAATCATGTGTGTAAACACATGAGCCAAGGTATGAAAAAAGGCGTGGATCATTACTAACAGTAACAGTAATGATTCAGGTGAAACCATCGTTTTTGGAGTCCATATTTCGAAACACATTGAGGCGATTGATGTTTGAACTAGCACAATATAAATACATCTGAGGCTTTAGGATATTTTTAACTGCAGGACACAGGTAGGACACACACACAGATTATTGACATTTTGTGAGATTTTATTTGTTTATCACAGGTACAGTAAAACAAAGGTATTTAAACTTTTATATAGTAAAATGATACATAACAGTGAATATTACCGATACATCCAGAATACAATGCACAGCTGTAATCAACAAAACCAGACCACCTTAAATATATATAAAAAAATATTAATATTAAACAGCCGTTAAATAATCTACAGACATCTTCAGCTATTAAAACTGCCGAGGTTTTCTTTCTTTGGAAATCCCGTTCTAAAGCAAAGATAATGTGTACTGTTGCAGACTTACGTGTAACTCCTACTAAGAAAAAGGAGCTTATCCTACGTGAGTTTACCATGATTGGTGGGTTTCTAAAAATGAAGGCAGGTTTCTTTAAATTTTGAATTCACTGTGAAATGACAGTGCTCTTATAACTGCTGCTAATTTACAGTTCCACAAGTGTGAAACACGAAAAAAACACTTTAAAAAGGGGGGAACTACTTAGGCTTAGGGGGTGGACCGCGACAGTTACTAAATGCGTGCAATAATTTTGATGGTATCAGATTAAAAAATAGACTTCAGACTATAGTGCTTCTGTGCTGACTCTCTGACGAACACACACACACACACACACCTTTTTTTTAGAAAGTGCACATGAAATTGCAGAAGAAACCATCCTCACGCAAAATTCAAGTTGTCCAATCGTAGACGACCAGGTCCTCGGACGCTGATTGGTCTGACGCCACCGTCACGTGTCATCGTTACGTGTATTCACAAAGACGTCTACGCTTCTTCTCGGTTCTTTCTACTTTTCATCAGAAGGGGCTTACGTACCGGCAAAAAACTGCGCTTAGTAATGAACGCCGTGACATAAACGAAGCTCAGGAACTATCCAAGTCAAACACAAAAGCTCCTCAACCGAGCAATTCACAATGGTTTTAGAGACGATAGCAAAAATAATAAAAGTCCAGCTTCCAGCCTACCTCAAGAGGCTACCGCTGCCGGAGACCATCGGCGGATTTGCGAGGTTAACAGGTAATTAGCAGCTGCTGTGTTGAACTTCAGACAGTCCTGGGGTGATGAGTAGTAAACTCGTGGGAGACAAGAGTTTTTTTACTCTAGCTAGCTGCTTCTTCAAACGCTGCTTTAGTGGTGTCGTGAAGAGCAGTCCTACAAAAACAGGGATTATGTCCCAGAGTGCTTCTTTGAGTCATGAAACAGCTAAGCGTAAATCTTTTGTGCTTGTCTGTGTGTGTGTCAAAGACAAAGTAATGACCTTAAGGTCGTGCTTGTTGGTTGTTTGCGTCTGTTTGAATGTGCAAACACCCATGATAATAACCACGAATTCGTTATAACTTTACAATCATTGTCTTTTTGTAAGTGAAGTCCTGTGAATGGTGTGATGCTAATTGCTAATTACCTGCATATCGCTTGTGTAAAAACGATTTTTCTTAATTGTCCTGCTCATTCGAGCACTGGCCAAACTGTACTTTTGTGAAAAGCAAGTTTTAAACACATTTGTTTTATTTTGCACCATATGATCATCTGGTGGCGCTCCTGCAGAAGTTTTTAAATTATTTTGAATAAATCATACAAATGCGTCTGAGACTCTCTCGGGGCCCGTTTTGCATACTAACCTACTACCTTGTGGTCCCAGCTGCGCTGACTCTTTCACACTGTTCTGTGAACTCTTAACATCACACGTAGTATCTGCTGAACCAGTTTAACTGAGAACCGAAATGCTGAACTTTGGCAAGTCTTGCGCAGTTTAAATATAGGAACGGAAGAAGTAAACCAGGGCTTCATGAAGTCAATTCAAAACTTGATCTTTTGAGCCAGCATAGATCATTGAAAAGTTTTGGATTTGTGGATGAGGACGTTTAAAGCAAGGCATGTGTAGTTATAATACTCCTGAGTCTGCCTGAAGGAAGCATGTGCAGTTGATACTCTTTGTAGTATCATGATAGCTTGACCACAACACAATGAAAGGCACACAGTGTCACATGCACCCTTTGGTAATGGCATTTACATCACTAGCTAACCCTTGTGGAGAAAGTAAAACATTAATATAATGCCCATCTGAGAAGGCCTTCAACCAAAACCAACACTCTTCTTTTGGGAGATGGCGTTGGTTAATACTCACTGACAGGCTTAATATTAGTGGTTTTAAGTTAAAGCCTAGTTATGAAGGCCCTGCTAACTGTCAGTTTGTCCTAAGCAGCAAAGTGGGTCAGTTCATATTAGATGACGGTGCATAGCCATTCTCCCACATGCAAAGACATCCCTTTTGAACTGCGTACAATTTGTTAAAAGGATTAAGGATTAGAAATGTCCCATTAGGCATCAGAATCCTTTTAACCCGCATAAAGGTATTATCAAAAGCTGGGGTCTGACACAGTGCTAATAGTGAAATTACACAGCTGTCTTTAATCCCGATTGTGTCTTCACCATGTATGGTGGAGCATAAGGCGGGTTTTCCCAGAGCACTTTTAAGGTCTCGGTGTGGCATTTCCCCTGGTAGCTGTTGGTGTGATATGACACTCGAGTTGGATCGAGTGTAATAATACATTAGTAATGCAGATCAGACACAAGCTATACAAGAAATGTGGATCCGAGAATCCACATTTTGATCCACATTTTTAGCGTGCATAAATCACTAAGATTTCTCTTATGCATTATTTATGCAAAATTATGCTTATAACTCCATACTGGTACTCAGGTTGTTGCACTCTGCTTATCGTGTTGTTTTATTACTTGTTATTTTTTTTTCGTTAAACAAACCTATTCATTGATTACTTTTTAAAAACATTTGTTTGTTTTTTGTTTTTTTTCATTATTCTGTCTCTTCGCTCCGGGACCATGTGTACATAATTTTGTTCCACCTCATGTTAACATGTGATGCAAATGACAATAAAGCTCCTTGAATAAATTGCATATATGAGGCTTGACTGGCTCACTAATGAGTTCATCAGAATGAGGAAGAGTGTACGGAAATGCACAAAGCACTGTTGAAGATGTGTTTTTGTCACACTTGACAGACAGTGTGAAATTTAGTTGAGGTCAGTTGATTAATATAACCCCAAATCACAATAGTAGTATAATTGTGTAGTATGTCGTAAAGACCCCATAATGAAAGAAAGAAACCCAGACAATCACCCCTCCCCTCTCCACGAGCAAGCACTTGGTGATGGTGGGAAGGAGAAACCCTCTAAACAGGAAGAAACCCCCAGCAGAACCAGAAACACACTTGAAACGGTAGTGATAGAGTAAAAACGTTTCTTATGTATACATTGCATATGAGTACTAGTACTGGCTCATCAACATATATGATACATTTCCTGTCAGTTGGTTTCATCTCTAATCTGAATGGCCAGTAGTAAATGCCAGTTTTAGGACCATAGAATCCAGTTCAACATTGTATGCGTGTTTTTCTTCTTTAGCTAATGTGTGTATGTTGTTTATGCTATAATATCTATAGTGTCTGAGTGGCTCCGGTTGCTTCCTCTTCTGGGCATCTTGGCTTTGCTCGGTTATCTCACCATTCGTCCCTTTCTGCCTAAGAAGAAAAAGCAGAGGGACAGCCTGATCAATCTGAAGATCCAGAAAGAGAACCCAAAAGTGGTCAATGAGATAGACATTGAGGACCTGAACAGCGCAAATGTGTGTTACTGTCGCTGCTGGCGTTCCAAAACTGTAAGTCTGTTAGTATTTTCTGAAGTATACTGTTAGTAAATCTAAATATTGTTCACACAGACTGCAGGATACATTTCTGTCTTATCCACATTATTATTATTATTATTATTATTATTATTGCTTGTGATTTATTGATAAACCCCTCTAGTTAAGCTGGGACAAGTGTTTGGGCATTTTACATCTTGCTGATCAGTTAATATTGTTTCCTGTTTTAGTTTCCTGTATGCGACAAGTCACACTTAAAGCACAACGAGCTGACTGGAGACAACGTGGGACCGCTCATACTTAAAAAGAAGATACTATAATCGACCACTGATCGGATTTTTTTCTCTAAACAGTTTTTCTTGCTCTTGTCTTGGTGTTATATTTACTTAAAAATAGAAACCACACTCTGTTTGAAAGCTACATTTGGGATACTTTAATGATAGTTTGCAATAAGGGAAGTTTTTAAAAAATAAAAAAAGAGTAACTTCGTTTTTGTGTGGGCCTTTTTGTTCATTGTTCATTGTTGTTTAACAGAGGAGCAGTTTTATTTGACTGGGACCACTTTGAGGGGGAAACTTGAAACATAACTGCATAATTGCAGTGACTTTATGATGCATTTATCTAATGTGAGGCCATCATGCGAGAGGTTTTGCAGATAAATGTCTGTTTAAATGGAGTCCTCAAAACTAGTCTGACCTTCCTTCATTTTGGATGATATTGGACAGCTTTTTTTTCCTTCTCTTTTTTCTTTAATTCCTTTATTTTGATTGCTTCAGATATGTGTGCCAAATACTAACATTTCCATACTTAATGGATGTGACATATTTTAAGTTATTGTGTGTATGGGAAGCTACTTATTCTTTAAATCTGTTCTACTCATAGCCTTTAAATGTTGAGTTTTACATTTTGTATTCTGTTCTGTTGCCTTAATACATTTCAAGCCACACAAGTAATTTCAAGATAAATCGTGTTTCACTAAACTTTCAAGGTTTGAAAATGTCTGTTTCCTTTGGCTTTTGTCATATCTGTATGAAGTTGTCTTGGAAAATTTTCTTCATTAATGACTATCAATAACAAATCTGCATTTTGTTTGTTTGTTTTTTACAGTATAACTGTTCATGAGCTTTGCAAGATAATGGTGTGAATTTATTCATGCTAGATGTAGAAATAAAGAGAATTTTGGCATCTTTAATGTTTGTTAAATTAATGAGATGTGTCTGCTTGTCACCTTTGGAAATAAAAGGTCTGTAAGGTTGTACTTAGAGAATGCTTTTTTTTTTTTTTTTTTTTGCGGTTTTGTTTTTCTTTTTTTTATATATATATAATTTTTTTTAAAGTCAGTTTTTCAGGCAATGGTGGTAATGGAAGGGAGCTACAAGAGTGTGTGACTTTTCAGAGGTGGACTTCATGCCAGTCCAACAAACATTGAGCTGTTAGTATTCAGAACAAGTCTTTTTATTGGCACTAGAAGGTTGAAGTTACCATAGTCAAAAATGATGTAGAAAAACCATCAGATTCACTAGACAACTGATAATTTTGGCGTTTTGGAAGCATAAATGTTGTTGGATCACCATTGATCTTCTCATATCATGAATGTCTACTAATTTTACAGCAGTCTAGTAGAGGCATTTGTTCCAGGCCCACACTGATGGCCTTACCCACAGATCCTCACTAGAAGCGCACCGCTAGTGTGACCAGAAAGGAAACTGCTCACACAACATTTTTGAATAATTTAAGCTTTTACTGCAGCAATGTTAAAGATGGACAATAAATTTACTTTTACATAGTATTTGGGTAAAATGGAAAAAAAAATTCATAAATAGCTGCTATTATGAAATCTTTTAAGTGAGGTCATATAAATTAAAGCAAAAGACATTTCATGTTACACCAGATACATTCTGCAATTTAAAAAA